CAGATGAAGACGGCAGTTGGCCATTTTGGCTTTATTTTCTGCTGATGCATCTGTTTGCCTTGTTTGGGCTGATTGAATTTTGCATGAGAGCCTACGAATCGTTCGCGAACAGAAACCGTTTGAAAGAAGTGATCGATGAAAGATGTGAGAGCGAAGGTGAGAAAGATGAAAGTGATGACAATGGGACAGGAAGAGAAATCCCTGGTCCCACAGTGGCGCAAGAACCTGCGATGCGTTCGCTCGGAATGGAGGTAAAGGCCTCCGGAAATGAACACAGTGAGCCGGCAGCGCTGATCCAAGATGGATCACAAGGCCTACGTGAAAGACGCGAGCCTGTAGATGAATTCGTGCTTGTCATTGGCCAAGGTGTAAAGTATCACAGATTGAACTGTGGTATAGCCAATGCTAATGTAAATAGAAGGGTCAGAGAGATTCGACGTAGTGCTGCTTTGAGTGCAGGTTACCAACCTTGCAAGCAGTGCTGTCCTAGGTAGATGAAGAACCCAAGGCGGACAGTGCAGAGTCCAAGACTTTGCTCTGTGGAGGGGTGTTGGGATTTAGGTCCTATACATCTCCTTGCGTGTGTTACCTGATGTAGTTGTAAAGATTGAGACTGAAAACCAAAGGGTTGCATCTGCAGCCCCTCTTCGTTTCAAGCTAAAAACAGCCGAGCGTGCGCTGTTTCAGAAAAACAACAACCAAAAAGGACAAACACCCAAAGACACATATTGTTCGATGAGTTTGGCTTCAATTTTGTTTTTTTGTTAATTATTATGTTATTTGACTTGTATTTCTTTTCAGTTTCCTTCATTTACATTTGTTTAACTATAACAAATAATGAATACGACTAGATTTGTTTAACATAACAAATAACGAATACGACTAGATTTCTACAAATTTAAGACTAAGAGCAAATATGCAAAAGAAACGAACCAGAAACCAAACAAAACCCAAAACACAAAAGCCAAAAAACATGAAACCAAACTTCTTGACAGACTTTGTTTTTTGGTTTTTTGCTCAACAATGCAAAACATGGAGGTTTTTTAATATGTTTAAAAAAATATATATCAAAAACTTCAAACACAGTAGGTTTTTAAAACAATTTTGTAAACAAGCATTGGTACTCGTCAGAGTCGTCAGCTCCTGAGGACCTCTGATAAGGTCAAAATCTGCATTTCGTATGGGCAGGGGGGTTGTCCATATATGTATATATAATGTATATGTATACATAGAAATGCAGTACTGACTGACCAGGCAAGTGAATCACACTGAGCTTTGCAAAGACGAGTGCAAGTCTTCTGCCAGTGGCACTGGAGTGCCTTGGTCCTAACACAAAAGGAGCAATCCGATGGCGAAGGAAGAAGAATGACGTGCCTTCCAAGGGTAGAAGTTGGTAGAAGCATCAAGCACGCTAGCCGTTAGACGATTCTCCTCCAAGCACAATCTGAGAGGTTTGGCTGAAGGTCTATCGAGGAGTAGGCCGTTTAGGAAAGTGGGGTGGCCACATGATCCAAAGAATTGTTTCTACTAATAACAAGTGCCACGCTAGTAGTAACAGGTGCCTTACTAGTAGTAACAAAGAAACTATTAGAATTAAGATCAAATTAAATTCAAAGATCCAAGGCAAAATCCAAGACGCCCAGGAAGCCTAAAGTGCAGAGGCACGGCTTTTTGCAGCACCATCGTTGAACTCCGTAGCACGTGCAGTGGAGTACCTTACCTTTCCGTCCTTTCCTTTTTTTAGAGTATCGAAACGTCCATGGCCGACCTGGTGCCGTTTGGAACCGATCCGAGCACGGTATGTTTGGCGCATGCTTTGCCCACAGGACACCTTCAGCCAGTCCGGAGAAGGCGAGTACCGTACTTGAAATATGACAGTCATTTACAGTCATTTTGCCAAGTTGTTTAGAGGGCTGGTGTTTTTTTTTCATCCTTTGCTCTTCCTCCTCGCATTCTCCAAGGCCCCGACCGCGAAGGGCAAAGACTCTGCAAAAGTGATACCTGCGCCAGCAACAGGCTAGGGTGACTGTTGGTCATGTCCAACTCAACCACATGGAATCCAGCCTTCCAGCTCACATTTCTATTCATCTTTTCCTCTGTTCAAGGGCTGAAGATTATTCTACTGTATCCCTGACTGCGTGTCCTTTGATTTGTATTCCGGCCGTGGATTCCGATTGGCGTCTTCAGACACAGGAAAAAGGACTGAGAACTCGATCAAGAAGACGGCGAGTGAGGTTGACCAGGCGTCTTACAACTTGTGCAAGAAAGCGCAGTGGTACAAATTGTACACTGGACATGCGCAGGGGATGTTGATGCTTGTTGGAAATTTTGAACATTGAGCGTTTGATTTAAAACGGCCCAGGAACACCAAAGGCCAAGAGTTCGAAAATGACGCTTGCACCAACCCTTCCAATCCTTGTCATCCTGCCAGACTTTGAATTCAAAAACAGTCAATCCGCAGGTGTTGTCTTCATTGCAGCGCTGGAGCGTGCCGGAACTGACACGCCTGGGGGAGGCAAGCTGGGGGCCCTGCAAGCTAGGGCAGGTGTTGCTAGGTAGTCTCAATTTCTGTTTCTTTCTCATCCTGTAGGGTCTGGAGCCGTTATTGATTATATCTTTATCATGGAGGTTTCCTTGTTTTACTCGCGATCTGACATGCAAGAAGTCTATACACCAAGCTGAGAAGGGTCAATCTTGCGGCCTTTCTGAGCACTGATGCTCAATCTATGCCCTGGTGATTTGAGCTTTATCCTTAAAAATGCCTTGAATGAAACATTTGTCAAGGACACACAGGGCTGGTTCAGGATTCCAATATATTGGCTAGGCCGTTCTCCAGCAGCTGGCGCTGCGAGCACAGCATGGCACGGAGCGCTCCGAGCTGTGAAGCCTGGAGCACATCAACTTCTAGAGAGGCCAGTGATTTTGGACAGGAGTCGCCCCTAGTAGCGTCCTTGCTCCTAGTAGGGTCAGTAAAGTACATGAAAGATCCTGGAAGAAATCCGAGCTTCATGGGAAGAAATCGTCTCCTGAAATCGCTGAAAGTTCGGCCAATGGTTCGGTCCACCGCACCAAGTCGACTGGGCAGGTGGTCGCGGAGTGTCCGGCTCCAACGGCAGCACGAAGGGCACGGCGAGCGGGCGTCTTTCTGCGACGTGTCGCGTGGTCCCCACTTCGGCAATTTGAAAGCTGGAAAAGATCAGCCAACAGATTGCGTGGTGAAAAGCGGAGACATGGTCATATTAGATGGTCTAGATTGACTCTCAAGGTTTCAAACTTGGAGCAGTATAGACAAAAGTGTCGGAGTTTGCAAGCTTTGCAGTGCACGCCTCGTTTGGATGTTGCGTTAATATTGGGCTCAGACATCTTAGGGTAGGGGACCGAGCCACTTTAGTGGCTCGTGTTGACTTCGATGGTGTATGCCCGAGAGGACTGCGTCATGTGCGTGCCAAGACTTAGGTGTTCAGAGACATTCAGAGACTGTTTGAATGGCTCCAACGAGTTGGGTGTTGGTCCCAACACCCAAACCCATGGAATTGGTAGCCGTGGGTTTTTGCTTGGCTGTTTCTGCGGAAGAGTCCCCCTAGTTTCATTTGCAATCATCTCTTTCTCTATGTTGCCATTCGTTCTAGTCCACCTCAAGGGGCACACCAAAACAGGTAGACAGATTCGGTGAAACGAGCGCTTCGTTTCATCGGCTCAGGGCCAGGGTGCCGGGCATCCCGTTTCGGGGTCTTCGGGTCAGACCCGCAGCTCAAACGGGACGAGAACGCTGCACAGGACATATCGCACGTGCTGGCCGCACGAGGATGGAGGGAAGTCAGACAAATAGGTGGGGATGTTTCTGCTCTGCATGGGTCAAGCATGTCTGAGAATCAATGACATTCTGACTTGTGTGATGGACATTTGCGGACTGTGGCCGAAAACGAGGAAGCTTTCCCACTGAGTCCTTCACTCGATCTGATGGACATAAGCATCTTGTATAGCAAAATGAAAACTGCATACTGGAATGATAGGAAGTAGATTCTGAGAGTCCACCAAGAAGAGAACTCAGCGTGTTCTGACGAACAACCCGTCCGCCGGCCTCCACAGCTGAAGAACGCTCCAGGCGAAGGCTCCTTTGCCAAGGCTTTGTTGGTCGAATCAGGCGATGGCACCCAGGCCGTCTGCAAGGCCGGGAGCGAGTCCGCAGTGAGAGGAATGAGTAAACAGGGGTTGCTGTACGATGAGGAAGGCACAAAAGATATTGCAAGATACTTCAAGATCAAGTTTGTTTATACATTTCTTAAACAGTGGTTAGTTTGAGTTTCTTCCTATTCCTGTCGAATAGAGTTTGGTCACTTGGCTCTTTCTTCAGCTTGAGTATCGAGTATTGCATCCCTTTGTTCTGCTCCGCAGGTCATGGACATTAGCGAAGCAAACAAGAAGGAGGCCACATTATGCTTGACCCACTCACAACAGATCAGGCCGTTGCAGGAAAACAGAAATCTAGGCAGCTCCGGATCATGATAACCTGTTCAAGGGTACACATCTGGCGAAAGCACCTCTGTAGTTCCTAGCTTGCACAATCGGCCTGGGACCTCCTTGACATGTTCATATTCTTTTAGTTTGATCTATGAATTCTGTTCATCTATGATGATAAGGTGAGCAATCCAAGCGGGAACACTTGCAGTTCGACTGTGATCGTTTGTGATGCAACGAAAGAATGACATGAATCCTGCGTAATGCCAAGCCTTCATTTGTCCAGCTTGCGCCGATGTCAGGCTGAGGCAGCTCTCAAGGACGGCTGAGAATTCCATGCAGTACTTGTGTGGGAGGGTTGGGATTTTGTTGGAGGCAGATTTGGTTCATGAGTGCAGTACCTCTTGTGAGAATCAGTCTCCTATTTTGAACAGCCTTGTTTCCTTGCAAGATGGCCCATCTTCTCGCTGTACATAAATCCATCATCACTTCTTGGTTCAAATGTTTGCTTCAAGTGCCAAGTCTTGATGAATGATGACCAACGCGCAAAGAAAGGGCTTTTATACACTGGAATAACAACATGCTGGCCACCATGGTATCAGCCAGGAGGGTAGATTGCTTGCGTCTTTGCAGCACCCCTTCGTTGTCCGCTATCGCGATAGCTTTTGCGAGGCGCGCAGGCAGACATGGCAGACATGGCAGACACTGTCACCGTCCATGGACAGATCCTTTAGGGGGAGGAGCGTAACGTGCCACTGAGGCTGGCCTTCTTTGCCTGATCATGGACTTTTGTGAAGGCAGGGACACCTCAATGTGGTGGCTTTCCTCCATGTGGTGTTCCGTTCTTCTCGTCGTGACCCCTTGTCTCGGTATTGGAGACTATCCTGTCTCGTCTTGACTTTGGTGAACCACTCTGCTTCGATCGGTTCTCTCAGTCCTCCCCCCATTTTCCACTTGGAAAGGAACACCAACCTTCCAAGGCGGCGAGCTGGCCAAGCAGATCCGCCGAGCACGGCGCAACCAACAGAGGAGCCAAGGGCCATCCGCCTGGATCCATCGCTCCGTCGCGGTGATACGCCGGGGCCCACGTCGCATGATTTTGTGAGAGGAAACGACTTCTTTTTGTATTCTTTTAACATGTTCCTTTAAAAGCAGCGGGCTTGGACGCAGTCTTTCTCTCTCTCTCTCTGCACACGTGCGGTTGGCTTCAAACTTTGGGCAACAAGTTCTGAGGGCTTCACCGCTTCGAGAGTGATTCTGCACCTGTTTCTGCTGATCCAGATGCTCTAAGTGGGTAAAGAGAACAGTTTTCATGTATTTGCTGCATATCATGAATCCGAACCTTAAGATGTAGGACTGGTTGTATCAGCCTAACTGGGCTCCAGTTGGCTTTCTCGGCGAACGAAGAAAGGGCCCTCTTTGCAGGATCCCGGAAGAGCAGATCCTCCGGTGGTTCACTCAGGCCGGACAGGATACCGGTTTCGAGCGATGCACGCTTTCTGCACGCTCGAACTATGCACGCTTGCATGCTTTCTTCCATCAGAGTCTCCATGCCGAAGCAGTTGAGATGGAAAACACACCAATTAGTAATTAGTAGCTTCTTGTTACTAGTTACTAGTAGATACTAGTGGTACGGCCAGGAGCCCCGTTTGTAGCGTCCTTGCTCCTAGTAGCGTCCTTGCTAGGAGCCCCGTTCGTAGCGAACCTTGTTACTATGCCGGGGCAGTTGAGATGAGTCTTTCCAGGCCATGCTCTCGCTGAAGTACGTCCATGATAAGCACATCCTTCACAGGGACCGGGCCGGCCGCTGTCTTGTGCTGTCTTGCTTCACTTTGCTTCCGTTGATGTGTGGTTATTTTTGGTCAACTGTTTGATGAATCCCTGTTGAAGGTAAGATGTGCAGGGTAGAGAGACTCTGCGTGGGAACTTGTGCACCACACATCTGGGACCTTGGTGAGACTTTTGGGGAATGAACGCACCCAGTGACGCTCGCCTAACTCTTGAGGATCTCAAGCCAGCCAACTTCTTCCTCACAAAGACTGGGCCCTTCACTGAGGGGCAACTTCTGGGTCGTGGTGATGCAGTACCAGCTATGATGCAGTACTTCTCTCCAACATCCAAACACTTTGGTGCAGATTATCAATCAACAGTAATCAACTTATACAGGCAATATATATATATATAACTATATAACTATATATATATATACAGATATTATGAATAAGCACTTGTTGTGTCCTGCATCCATATTCCATATCAACATCGCATCATTTTGTCGGAACATGTTTGCGTAGTTTCTTTGGCTCACGAGCTCATAGAGAGCCCAATGAAAGGATCCTGTTGCCTCGCAAGGTCTTTGAAGATGGGAGACTTTGGGATCGCGAAAACCATGGTCCGGCCGCCCACAGAGATGGTGCTCATCGCCCCTTTTGGGGTCAACGGGATCTCCCAAAGCCTCGGGGGCTGGGTTGGTATGACGGACATATTATTCTACGAGTTTCTTCCGCACTGGAGGTGCCCCAAAATATATAGTAGAACGAACACTCCTCACGTCTTCCAAAGCCTTATTCTGGCCGTTAGCGGTGTCAGACGGCCAAGGTTTTTCTTTCGTTTGGGCCTTTCTTTGGGTCTTTGATCGACAGCATCAACACCGAGGCTTGTACAATAGCTTTTGCAAAAACAAGGATCGGCCGCATCCTCAGTGCCCTTGGGAATGAGACATTCTTTTTCGGCGCTCTTAGGTTGGAGGCCATCGCTAGTAGGTTGGAGGTTCAAAGGAGATGTGCAGGTCATTCGCTTGTTGGAACCACCTCTTGAATTCGGACACCTGATCAATACAGTAAGAACAGCCCAGAATCCCAGTCAATATGGAGCACACGGACGACCGCCCATTGCTGGACGGTGGATTCGTCTAAGGAACTCCATACTACCTCAGTCCTGAGGTCTGTCAGGCCTTTGGCATCTCGGGATGATGCTTTTTCCGGGCCCGAAGACAAGAGAGAAGACTCACCGACCCTAAGCGCCGAGCATTGAACAAGTATGAAAAAGTCATGACCTGCCGTATGGACATTGGTATGGACTGGAGCCGGTACATGTGCTGCTAGGAGAAGCCATACGCTTGGCCATCAGATATGTGGTCTATGGGCTTGACACTTAGCCGGGTGTCGCGCGGTCCTTCGAAGACTTCGAGCGGTCCTTCGGATTCCCTCGGCCCAGGTTGTATTCTTTATGAGATGTGTGCCCTGCCAGCCCCTCAGAGTCTACACACCTGACAGTCGCATGGAAGAATTCTGGAGCACAAAGACCGAATGCCCCAGCCATCGAAGTGGCATGGGGAGCCTGGCTAAGGCAAGTTCCATTTGATGCACACAGCATTTCGGGCCTTGTGCAGAAGATCTGCTATGGCCCCTTGCCAACAGCTATGCCCTCAGATATGGACTTCCATGAAGGACGCACGACTCGGCTGACCTCCGGAGACCGGTCTCGGCCTCAGGTGCCAGAGACGTATTCCGACTTCTTGCGGCGGCCGCCCGGCAGATGGCGGGCGCGGCTGTCGGAGAAGGGCAGTGGAAGGTGTGAATGGCAGGTCTACAAGACGCAACAAGTACCTGAACCCAATCCAAATCCAGCCGGATGAAGGAGTTCAACTGCACAGTAATCCTGGGAGTCTTACAAAGAATGATTGATCCCCAGATGTGGTGAGATGCACAAAGTGGTGAGACTCAAGTCCGACCAGAATCTCTGCCGCCAATCCATCAAGCCTGTGCCGGCCAAGGCTTTGCCGGCAGCTCTTAGACCGAGATCCCAAGAAGAGGCCCTCGGCTGATGAGGCAGACAGGGAGGACTTCTGGATGGCTGGCTAAGTGGTCACTAGATGAAGATTCATTTCGCAGTGCAGCTGTTTTGATGATTCATCTTTTTTCCGTTTGGGACATTTTGGAGATGATTCGTGTAGCTGGCCAGTTGTTTGTGAGTGTGGTGGGGTGTTTCCGGAAAGGTGGCTGCCGCAACACAAGCTTCTAAAAAAGACATGACAGGCAACAATACTAGCACTAATTTGACCATTGGCCACTTCGGGTGCCAGCATGGTAATTGCATGCAACCTTCAACCAGTGACGCAGGATAGCCTTCAAGACCATGTTCAGTGCCATGCTTGGAGAAAACAACAGGATCTGATAATGAGACAAGTTGCCATGGCCTCTATAGGGCGGCGGTGGCGGCAGGACAGGTTTTTCACAGCTGGCTCAGGAACTTGAACCTAAGCCTCAGATAAAGCCTCAGGTGGACGTTTGGTGGGACGGCTTATTTATTACACTTGCTTGATTGCTGAAATGCTCTACAACATTCTACTGTCACCATTGTCACCTGCTCTCCAATCCCATTATCGCTGACAGGAGCACCGTTTGCTTTGTGCTGGCTTGTTGGCAGCTGTGTTCCAAAGCATCTTGGCAGCAAAGAACGACCTTGTGGATGTGGGCGCTTGCGTCGGTCGAGCGGTCTTGCACTGCACGACCATGGGTGAAGCTCTGCCTCGAGCTTTCAGACATAGCCTGGAACAAACGGGTGAACTCTTTCATTTGAAGCGATGGCCCCTAGTAGTAAGCTCCTAGTAGCTTCTTGCTCCTAGTAGTAAGGCCAGGAGCCCCTAGTAGCGTCCTTGCTCCTAATGGCGATGCCCTTGGCTCCTTGGCCGTGCATTTTTGTTGGAGAACTCTCCAAGTTAGAGATGTTCACTCGACGAAATCTTCATGTCAAGGACTGAAGGTGCTGTTTGATGAACGTGGAATCTGACTGTGAATCCTCGCCCCCCCTTGGAGATATCCTTTTGTCCAGCACCTTGTCCAGAAGAGAGATTTCAACCTCCTTTGACAGGGTATGGGCCGCTTATGCAGATCCAAATCTTTGTGGCTTGGACCCCCCCCGATATCTGGGAGTCCCATAGTAGCATTTGGTCCCAAAGATTTCACTTGAACGTATGACACCAATAGCTTTTGGGTGTATGAAGTTTGTCTCATGCATCCAAGACTTGCATTTTTTCCTTTCAGTTTTGATTTTAGCGAGCAAGTTGAGGCTTGAGCTTTGTAGCGCCCACACTTCGCCGTGGCCTGCTGGTTGCTTGTCATGCATGGGGAGTTCGGAGAGTTGGTGCAGGATTCATTTTTGTGTGAGATATCAGAAGAGCTCAGAAGAAATATTTTGAGTATATAGCTATTTCATACAGTTTGGTTGGTAGAATGAGACAGAACGCGAGCCGACAAGCCTTCCCAAAGTTCCTCAAGCCGAGACACCTGAGACACCTCACCACCCATGTTTTTCACATTGAGCTTTTCCAGTGTGAGGGCACCTGGTAGCTGCGAATCCCCAGAGTGGGAAGACAATTCCATGCTTTCAACCCAGTTGGGCGGCCTGGCCACCCAGTGGCCTGCGCCAGCGCATGCGGGACTGGAGCTGAAGACCTTTGGCTCTGGAGGCTTCAAGGAGTACACTGTGGCAGACGCCTTCCAGGCTGGAAGTTGGCTGAAAGGGAGAGATTGATGGAGCTTGAGATGACCAAATCAAGCTGCAGAATCAAGATACGATTTTGGATTCTTTATGATTTGGAGGTTTGAGATTTTGACATTGGGGGATTGATATCCTTTTGAGTTTTTTCTCGGCTTTTCCGCTAGTGTTCTTTTGAAACCTCCCAGCTGAGGCTTCGCGCAGACGCTCATAGCTGTTCGCGAGTAATTGGGCAATTCCCTTGACCTGAGATTGTTGTGCTTGGGTGCTGGCACGACAATTATAGACAAACGCTGACCCGGGTCAATTCAGTTCTGGCTGTGAGCACCCACTCGGGGGTTTTGTTTTGGCGCCTTCAGGTTTGGCCAGAGGCTCCCAATCCCACGACTCCCACCCGTTGAAGTCTTTGGACCACGACCTCCCTCAGGTGTCCATGCCAGACAATTTCAAGGTGCCGGTGCTTGTGCTGGGTGCTGCAAGCACGCCGTAATGTAGCAGAACGCCGAATTCATCTATTTTTCATTGGAGGCGATAGCCACCAGACGATACCACAAGAGACAAGGCCACGCGCCTGAATCCTCAGAATGGCATTCGACTTCCCCGCAGGTCATTGAAGAACAGCCTTTGAAGACCATCTGGCAGGGCGACAGGTGCGTGCTTGACATTTCTTCAACATCCGACTCCTTCGTCCAAGAACAGCTTCAACGGAAAAGCTTCGGACGAGCGGTGCCGGAGTGGTAGCTCCAAATCCAGGTCTGGTGAGCTGAACACCATGATTGCGCAGGCCAAGGTGGTGGAAGCGGACACCCTAGAGAAGGCCTGGTTTTATATGTGCAGGTTGCATGCATTGATAGCCGGTTTGTTCATGAAACAAAGTCAGTTGTGGTGAGAATCTTGGCGCAAGGAACTAGAAATGTTTTTTTAATATCCTGGTTGGGTGGGAGAGCTGCCAGGCTTTGGGCATGGATGGCCTTGATCTCAAGGACATTGGCGAAAAGCTGCTTGACATAGGATGGTGTGTTTGGGGTTGAGCAGTCCAAGAATTCAACCAAGCCAAAGGTTCAAGAATTGCTTGTTGATCGGAAGCTAAACCCCAAGAAACGCAGTTTGAACAGAATTGAAGGTACTTATTTTTGAGGGTGAACAATTTTGTTTTTCACGACTGAGGCTTTCAGATAAGAGGCCTTTCGGTGGCTCCGACTTTATGGGCGCCGCTAGGCAACGCAAGCGAGAGCTGAGGAGATCTAATGAAACGCACATTTGAGCAAGAAAATTGGACACTTTTGTAACAGCATGTACAACATATGAAAGCTAAACACCTCGAAAGGCTGCTTGGAGGTATTGAATTTGTGGGTCTATTGTCAGGACATTGACTACCGTGGGAGTGAAGATAACACGGTCCTTTCAGAGTAGAGTATTGAAGCTGCAACCGAGGTGCAAAAGTTAGACGGTGTTGACGCTTATCGCTTCGAGTTTGTCAACGACAAGATCCATGAGCCACCTAGCTATGCCAAGAACCTGCCTGGCCAATTGCTGGAGTAACCATCCGCATGCTTTTGACCGACTGGGCCCAGGTATATCCTCTATGCTTTGCTGAATTCGGGTTCACAGAAGCTACTGTGCTCTGTGATTGTCCGTGCTCCAGGCCATCAATGTATTGCAGAAAAGATCATGAGGTTCTTGGCTTTTCTTTTCTTGCTGTTTCGTTCACACGTTGTTGGAACTCGGGATTGCTGCAGGTTTGCTCTGGCAGAACAATAACCGCTTTCAAACTCTGGCCAAGATCATTGACAGCTTCAAACCAAAAGCTGCTTTGAATGCTGTTAAGTTTCCAAAAAAATCTAGAAACCAAATCATTAGTGCGAATGCTTCTTCAAGGAAGCTCCGCCCCGCCCTCAGGCGGGGAGCTATCCTGCGTCCTACCTAGAAGCTGACTTAGCCTAGTAGCTTACCTAGTTGCTGAATTAAGTGGGCGCCTACTTAATTAAGTAGCGAGGGTCAGGACCGGCAAGAAAGAACTTATTCTTATTCTTTCAGCGGGTGAACTTTTGCACCGTGAACTCTTCATTTGTGTGAACTCTTCGAGAACATCCGTAGAATCCCCCAGAACGATGTTCTTTAATTATCGTTAATTAGTCTCATTAGCAGCGTGATGCTATTGAAATAGCTTGGTTTCAGACCTACAGTCATTCATGGCCTTTCAGTTCTTTGAGTAGTTGTTCTCCACTGCTTGGGGTTCAGTGCCTTCTCCTACCTAAGATGAAGCACGCATTCATGACATCCATGCGTTTTTCTAGATCCGCATTCCAGCCATACCCAGGCTTAGGGTCCCACGCAGCGGCGCTGCGCCATGATTTTCTCTGTAAGAAAAAACAGGGAGCGTGTCGCAAGTACTCTTGGTACGGAGGGGCAATGCTGGCACGTTGAGAGAGTATTCTTGTCAGGCGTAGCGAGCACCCAGTTTTAGAAGCGAATCGGTTTTGATTAAATATCAACGGAGAATTTCAGAATTGACAGCTTTCAAGATCCAGGGCTACGTTGATATTTACAAGTTTGCTTCGTCAAGACAACAGGCTTGCACACCAAACCGTAAATATACGTGTCCACAATTTGTCGCAACTTGGGTTTGGATGTTGCTGCTTTGACTTCGCAGTGTTGGGACGTAATGACGTCCACTTTAAAGTTTTCAAGCAATACTGTAAGGAACCTAAAAGCGATGGCCTCCAACCCAATAGTGATGGCCTCCAACCTAAAGCCATGGCCTCCAACCTAATAGCCTTTTGCACCCTCGTGGTTTTCTCCAAATCGTTGGCTGCGCACCGTCGGTGGATGCTCGGCAGTGATGAACTCCGCGAGAAGACGTCGACGGTCGCAGGTGCTGCAGCTGCCTGAGATTCAGAAGGTGGTGCGACAGATGTTAGAAGAGGCCAGATTGGTCCGCAAAAGCAGTTTCTGACCACCTAGTGAAGAAAACTATGGTTGGCACAGGCCTTAGGGCTTGGAGCCCTTAGAGCAGAGAAAACTAAACAGACCGACAGACAAACAACGGTTGGCAAGAAGTATCCGGTTGGACTATTCCTACTCTTCCAATTCCGGTTCTTCGGGCGGAGTTTTGACTCACTGCGTCACCACCTGTGTGGAGCGGACTTTGGTCTCACAGAAGAGCACAGAACAGCCACGATTGTGCAGGTGAGATCGCTCCAGCAACAGGACTGATGAGGTTTTCTTGCTACCTCATGAGGCCTAAGGCCTTGAGAATAGACAGCTCATCGACTTTGACAGAAACCTCATCTCGAACCAAAGGACGTCCTGCAACAATGGCAGTTTCCACATGATTTTTCCTTCCACCTTTCCCACCCATTTTGGTACTGATGCTCAATCTGTGGACATTCTTGTCAGGAGCGCCGAGCCAAGGCATGTGCAGCTCCAGCTGCTGGCTCATACAGGACTAGCCATGCACGTTAGATTGCTGTCCCAGTGATTCTTTTCCAAGCAATGGATTTTTCAGGGTCTGAGTGCTGTTTGAGAACGGTAGCTGGCAGCTTGTGTTTTCCAAAGGTGTTTTTCTTTTTTTAAATGAAATCATGATACGCTACTGTTTTGGATCTCCTGCCTGCGCGATCATGTGATGCCCTAAATACATTTGTTCGTCAGTCTCTCATGGGCAGTTGTGCAAGTCTGGAGGAAAGACGAGATGGTGGAGTACTACTCGGTAACGCATGGTGTCCCTCGGCCTCAGCTTGGATATGTGGTGGAGATTGCTCGACCAACAGTTTCTCCTTCAAACACCATCCCATGATGTGTTTGTATGTCTGCCGAAACGATGCACTCTCTACTCGGCCGGAACTGCAATCCATTTTTCGTTGAAGCTGCTTTGACTGCTTTGGACGGATGTAGTGAGCATATAATCCTAGAGACGTGACATTTTGCACACCTGCTGTAGCTGCCCTTTTCCAAACCCAAAGATGAGGTCTAGCTTGGGTCAAAAAGCTCAGCTCCTTTCTTCAGACTCTTCGTCTTCCCGAAACGGTTTCCGCCGTTTCGCTCGTTCCCCAGTCCCGTCCGCAGGAGTGGCTTCCTGCCACCATCGTCGATGTCGACACGACGGGCCGCGTGATGATCGACCTGCGGCCGGGAGTCTGGCTCTCGGCGGCAGGGGGTCTCAGAGCACCCGATGCCGTGCTGCCGTGGGGCCCCGGAACTCGTCGCGTCCGATCGCGAACGGTTCGTATCGATGCCGCCCCGTTCGTAGCTTCTTGTTACTAGTAGTAAGGCCAGGAGCCCTAGTAGCGTCCTTCCAAAAGATACCAAAGACACGATTCCATCCGATTTGGTCGCTGGAGATCAAAGTCTTGTGCGTTGGACATGTTCTGAATGTGCCTTCAAGGAGAGATTTTCAAGCGAGTGGCAGACACTTCAATGTCGAACACGCCGCACGCCTGCCGAGAACCCTTTCGCCACAGCATAGTGACGTACCAATCTTGCTTGATCCTTCACTTGGGCCTAGTAACAAGGACGCTACTAGGTGGAGACCATCGCTAGGAGGGTGGAGGCCATTGAGTTGAGTTGGTTGCGGTTGAGTTTGCATCCTGAGACAGGAGCTGCAGGCCTCGAAGATCCGTCTGCGTGAGTCAGGCCACATGACGAGTTTAGAATACTTGATGCTTGTCTGGCTTGTCTCACAAGAGTTTGGATCTTTTCGAGGATACGTTTTAAATGACCTTGACTCTATCTTACACTCATATCTTGCAGGATATGCATTGGTATATATATATATATTTATATGTGTATAGTACACTGATTCCTACTACAGTTTCTGATGATTTGACAGATTTGGAGAATGCTTCGTTGAAACAATGATCCCAATTATGGTGCCATGCGCCTGGCATCAGGCTCCAGTGATGAGAGCTCAGGAAGCCAAGAGGGATGGAGGTCCGCGTTGGGTCACACGAGCTCGACTGCTTCACCAATGGTTTGAGCACGACTCTCCCCGTGCTGGGATCTTCTGCTTTGTGCAGGCAAAAAGTCTCTGATGAGGATGCCTCAAAAGCGGTGCCAGGCGGTGCCGAAACGGGAGATGGGCTTCGTTCCGGACCCAAACGCTGCGTTCTGCAGCATTCCCAAAACGATGAGACGAAACGTCTGGGTGGGAAAGAGCTAGCACCAATGGTACCTACGTTTGTTATATCTATCATGTCCATCATTCATAGCCCATTCGCCTACCTAGCATTGCTCTCTGACAGCTTCTGTGACTGCTCAGCCGGGATGTCGCGGCACTTGCTCAGACCCCTCTGTGGATGTGCCACAGCCACCTCGTCTTGAGAGAAGGCTGGGAGATACTGAGAAATCGGAAATTAGGAAGCCTGGAATTCCCTGCATGGACTTTCCAGAACACTTTGCCAACTTCAATAATACATTCCAAGACATTCCAAGAGGTCAGGGTTAGCCGTTGAGGAAGGTGTTGTCCACTGTGACCCTCCAGTTGAAGTCAATGCATGGCTTTTAAGAGGCTTGCAGACTCAATCCTTTCGACTCTTGACTTTGACCGGTGCTCTTGGGACGGAACAATGTCTACACAGAGTGAGAAAGGGTTTAGAAGGACGGATTTGAGTCACAGCGATCCATCTCTTTGGGAACCGATGGAGTGCGACCCGGCTCTCCAATCAATTCCAATCACATCACCTGCATCTCCGAAATTTTGCAACATACCCGGTCGATTGCCGGTTGAGTCCCTTCGATTTTATGGTTTTTGCGGGAAAGGCCCCGTCGCCTGGAACCGCCAGGAAGGCCCCCCACCCGGCGGGAGTCCCCGCGCCCGCCGGCCACGCCGGGCGCCGCTCCTGTGCCACCTGAGGCAATTTGGCACCGGACATGAAGGGATGTTGGGTTTTGCTGGAGTGTAGTTATTGTGAACAAAAAAAGGTATATATGTATGTATATACTGTAGCATACATATATATATATATACAAAGATTCTTGGTCGAAGAACACAAGAAACATAAGAACATGGAGTAACTGTAACTTCTTGGTTGGCTTCTCTCCTGGGCCTTTGCTCCATTGAATTTCGCTGGGACCCGCTTCCGGGGGCCAGGAGCCACGGGTGCGGCCTGAGGCGCGACATGGAGACTGACCTGGTTTTTGCATGTGCTGACCGGATAAAGCAAAGGCATAGGGTGCTCCTGTGAGGACTAGTAACAAAAAGCTACTAGGGTCTCCTGGCCTTACTACTAGTAACAAGACGCTACTAGGGGCTCCTGGCCTTACTACTAGTAACAAGAAGCTACTAG